ACCCATGTGCTTTACTCCCAGGGAAAATGATCAATAATGCAATATGGAACGCTGACATTTTTAAAGCGTTGTCAATGAACTTTAAGAATTCATGTACCGGTGAAGCTGCTGGGAAGTGGGGGAGTTTTGGGCCCTATGCAGATTCGGAAGCTCCATAAGTTTAACATGATTCATAGTCGGAAAGTTATCATTACTGCTAAGAGAGGAAGAAACTTCCTTTCTTAATTAAATGTTGAGGTTTTTTTAGAACCTGAATGCTGTGTGGGGGCCATGGGAAAACTTTGTGTTCCTTTCCCTGAGGGACCTCTATACAGTGCAGGGACAAGATGAGCTGAGGTTAACCCAGTGTTCAGCATGGAGAAGGTAGTGTCCTTGCTTGTTCCCATCTTTCATCCAGAAGCACAGAGAAAAAGAGGAGGGCAGGGTAGCCTGCCCCTCAAGCAAAGGGGAAAGGGGCGGGGGGGATTTGAGGCCAGTGGGGGGCTTTGTGGCCAGGCATCAGTGCAGGTGCCGGGGCCCATGCTCTGTGCTCCAGGGGCTGAGCAGCCAGGAGCCACGGCCCGGGGATGGGGGTAGGAGGAGACGGGCCGTGGCCAGGCTGCCCGCAGGGCACTGCAGCCCTATCCCAGGGCAGGGGGGCCAAAAGCCTCCCCTCCTCTCCCCTCAGCCCGCACTGGGGCTGGACACGCTCCACTGCCGCCTGCATGAATCAGAGCCACCATGCTTCAGCTTGGGTAGGATGGGCAGGGCTAGGGGGGCAGAGGGCTGTGGGTCAGGAGTGAGGGGCAGTGGAGTGGGGGGCAGTGGGTTGGGAGTGCAGAGTCATTGACAGTGCCGGGGGCTGCAGTCAGGAGTGGAGGCACCAGCAGGGATTGGTGGGGGAAAGGGGTGTGCAGGTCAGGAGTGATGGGCATCAGGGTGGGGTGGGGGACTGTTCATTGCAGGCACTGTTTGTCTCTGTGTGTCCATGTGCAGAGTGAGTGAATAGAGTGAATGCCCATCTGCGTTTCTGCATCCGTCTGTGTTTGCGTGCGTGCGTGTGCATGCATGCGTCTATGTTCATGACCGGGAAAGTGTGTTTGTGTCTGTGTGTCCATGTGCAGAGAGTGAGCAACTAGAGAATGCACCCATCTGCATGTGTGCTTGCACGTGCGGTATGCTTGTGTGTGTGACTGCATGTGCATGCATGAGTGTTCATGCGTGTGTCTGTGTTCATGGTAGGGAGGGTGTGTTTGGGTCTGTGTGTCCACGTGCAGAGGGTGAGCATGAGTGTTCATGCTTGTGTCTGTGTTCATGGTAGGGAGGGTGTGTTTGGGTCTGTGTGTCCACGTGCAGAGGGTGAGTGTGCATCTGCTTGCATGTCTGTGTCTGTGTGCGCGTGTGTGTTAGTGCATGTGCGTGCATGAGTGTGTGTGCATGTGTCTGTGTTTAAGGCAGGAAGGGGTGTGTTTGTGTCTGTGTGTCCATATGCAGAGAGTGAGTGAGAGTACTGTGCACCTATCTGTGTGCACACCTCTGTGTGTGTGTATGTTTGGCCATACTGGGACAAGGGGGCAGGGAGCAGGGAGAAGTGGGTATGTGCCCCTCACCCCCAGCCCAGCAGGGTCCCCCCAGCCTCCCCACCAGCACCAGGACAGGAAAGGGCCCTGCCTTCCCCCTCACCCCCTCAGCCCAACTCCCGTGGGGGGAGGGGGCTTCCAATTTTGTGTTTGCCCAGGGCCACAGTACACATGAATCCACCTTTGGGCGTGGGACCGGACACAGAGCGGTTGGGGTGGAGGGGTATTGCAGGCCTGGATGCCAGGCGGGGGGGGTTGGCGCAGGGCCGGGGACAGAGCAGCAGGGTCTCGGGGGAGGCACATGGGGCCAGATGCAGAGTGGGGGTTGGGTTGCGTGCCGCCAAATGCAGAGTGGCAGCAGTGCCAGACAGTGGGTGG